CACCCCCCAAAAAACAAAAAATCCAGTTAAGAAAGGGGTAGAAGACATGAACGGACATTTCTCCAAAGAAGACATACAAATGGCTAACAGACACATGAAAAAATGCTCAACATCACTCAGCATCAGGGAAATACAAATCAAAACCACAATGAGATACCACTCCACACCAGTCAGAATGGCTAAAATTAATAACTCAGGAAACAATAAATGTTGGCAAAGATGTGGAGAAAGGGAAACACTCTTAAACTGTTGGTGGGAATGCAAACTGGTACAGCCACTCTGGTAAACAGGATGGAGTTTCCTCAAAAAGTTAAAAACAGAACTACCCTATGACCCAGCAATTGCACTAGTAGGTATTTATCCAAAGGACACAAAAATAGTGATTTGAAGGGCACATGCACCCCAATGTTCATAGCAGCAAACTATGGAAATAGCCCAGATGTCCATCGACAGATGAATGGATAAAGATGGATAAAGAAGATGTGGTATATATATACAATGGAATATTACTCAGCCATCAAAAAGAATGAAATCTTGCCATTTGCAATGATGTGGATGGAACTAGAAGGTATTATGCTAAGCGAAATAAGTCAGAGAAAGACAAATACCATGATTCATTCATATGTGGAATTTAAGAAACTAAACAGATGAACATAGGGGAAGGGAAGGAAAAATAAAAAAGACAGAAAGGGAAGGGAACCATAAGAGACTCTTAACTCTAGGAAACAAACTGAGGGTTGCTGGAGGGGAGGTGAAATTGGGTGATGGGCATTAAGGAGGGCACTTGATGTAATGAGCACTGGTTGTTATGTGCAACTAATGAATCACTAAATTCTACCCCTGAAACTAATAATACATTATATATTAACTAAATTGAATTTAAATTTTAAAGAAGACCAAATATTAGAACAAAAGATCTTCCCACTGGTCTTATCACTTAGGAATTTACATGGAATTTAGGAGCTCTGTGCCGGGAACCGGAGTTAGAGACCAATACATTATTTTCTATTATCTCACAGTTCCTTAGCCTTCTTTGATGTCTAGTATGACAAGATATTCCAGGTTCATCCTGGACACTTCTTGCCACAGACCTAGAATCAGCCATTTCTCTAAGAAACCTTGGTTCCTTTCATTGGAGAATGGTACTTAGAATCTCAGTCTGGGTACTAGAGTTGCTTTTTGACACAGTTTTTCATTGTTTCTGAATGTTTTTTAGTGGACAAAGCTTAAAAATACATGTTTTTAAAATAATAAAACTAAATTCATACTGAGGCTTTCGACAGCTGAATAGTCTTTAGAGATTTTTCCTTCAGGCTATGGAAGAACTTGCAAAGTATCCCTTTTCTACAAGATTATCCCCAGCCAAGTGATAAAAAAATATATATATCACGTCTAGTACTAATGATGTACTATATTTTGGCTAAATTGAATTTAAATTAAAAAAATATGGTGTCACCAGAACCAGTGACTTGCTTTGGACAATGATTGGTAAATATTGACAAATTTTAGTGTCCAATTTCCTTTTTACATATCTATGGCTACTATATTTTCTGAATAAAACATCAGATGGTGTCATAAGTATTACTGTAAACGTGGGGACAAAAGAACAAAATATTCAAAATCAGAACTATCTGGAAAATATGAAAAGTATAGTTGCCCTAGAAATACTCTAGGCCAAGGATGGCAAACACATTGCTTCCTCCATGGTAGTCATCTCTAACTAATCAGTCTTTCCTACTGAGCTGGATGCACCTTAGAATCCTTCACAGCACAATTCTCCAAAAAACCACTACAAACCAATCTGAGTGGCCAAGCAAGATGACAAGTATTACCATCCACGTTTAAGGCAAACAAATGTCCTTTTATCACATTACAACTTTGTGAAATTGATTAAGACAGCAGTTGCCAAATTGGGTTCTGAGGTGCACTAGTGCTGTTACCAGGTGTTCCATAAATAAAAGGAATCTGTGGTCTCAAATATTTGGGAAATGTTGGGTTTTTAAAAAAGGGTTTCTTTAATGCAAAATTCCAAGAGTCTTTAATGTTCTAATATGCATTATAATTCTCCAGGAAGGGAAATAGTATGCATTGTTTATTAATTTATTTGAACTCTTCATGGAACTCTTTTGTTCATATGCATCTTGTGACCACTGAATCAGGCTTTTCTTTTATATTAATTACATTCCAATTACATCTTCTTTAAGCCCAGGTCAATGTATTTAGAACTGAATCAGGATTGGGGACTTTTGGAGATAATAAATTGCATACACTGAATGCTGATTTTTGCATGTGTGTGTCACTCTACAAAAGTCACATTTTCTCCAGTATCTAAAGACAATCATGGTTTAGCTTCCTATGTACTGACTGCACTAAGATTCTGTTTTTGGTAGAAAAGTGATATGTGTGTGTGTGTATAACTTGTCACAAAGATAGGATTAAATTATTTCATTATGCATGGAAGAGTTATTCATGGAGAGCATGGTCTGAGAGACCTCAATGATGGATCATTTAGAATAGTCTAGTCTGAGAGCCACAAAACCACCTACAGCAGTTACTTTGAAACTTTGAGCTGTCCATTTTGTGCTGTTTCCTCATTAACTAATGGTAGTCACATTGCTTCTGTTGCACATGAATGGTAGTTGCTTTTCAAAAGGCCTCTAGAGATTCTTTTAGAATAGGATTTGCAGTTAGGAGTCTTTGGACTAACATAGGATTTCACTTACCCCTAGGGGTTCCCCCATTCTGCAAATATGTAATGCCTTCAGCAGTATGAGCTTCTGGCTACAGAATTGGGTGCCCAAGCCTAGAAATTAAAAGTTCCTTAAAACTTGCAAATAGGTTTAGAGGATTCTCGGAGATTATCAAACTTGGAAAAGTAGCATCTAGAGAAAAGGACAAAAGAGCCTAGATTCACTTAAAGATGAGAGACTCTAATATGAAGAACTGTTGTTTTGAGTAGTTCACAAAACAATTTATTGGAGTTCAGAAAGACAACACAGAGACATCAACATACTTATTTTAAATTTCTGTGTCAGAGTATTGTAATGTATATGTATTATAATGTATCTATAATGTAATGTATAAAGTATATATACACAGTAGTACATATATATAACCTATAAATACATATACATATATGGTGGGCCCATGCTCAAAAGTTTTCTTTTATTACAGATAAGAATGTGTGAGTAAACAGGAAACAAACTGAGGGTTGCTGGAGTGGTGGGGGGTGGGAGGGATTGGGTGGCTGGGTGATAGACATCGGGCAGGGTATGTGCTATGGTGAGCACTGTGAATTGTACAAGACTGAGGAATCACGGATCTGTACTTCTGAAACAAATAATGCAATATATGTTAAGAAAAAAAAAGAAGAAGAAGAGAGCAGGAGGGGAAGAATGAAGGGGAGTAAGTCGGAGGGGGAGACGAACCATTAGAGACGATGGACTCTGAAAAACAAACTGAGGGTTCTAGAGGGGAGGGGGGTGGGGGGATGGGTTAGCCTGGTGATGGGTATTAAAGAGGGCACATTCTGTGTGGAGCACTGGGTGTTATGCACAAACAATGAATCATGGAACACTGCATCAAAAACTAATGATGTAATGTATGGTGGTTAACAATAAAAAAATTATTAAAAAAAAAAAAAAAAGAATGTGTGAGTAAAAATTTGATTTAGAGGATTAAGTACATCTCTTTATCAGAAGTGTGTTTTAGGGTGTTTGTGGGGGGGCAGGACTAGTTTAAGTAGAGGCGCAAGGGATTCAGTTAGATCCATTCATTTTATTTTAAAATAACAATAATTGATGATATAACCTTCATTCATATTAAACAAATTCATACTGAACAAATTATGACTGTTTAGATTTTCCATCATATCCTCAGGGCCTGTCAGAAACATTGACCTAGGCCCTGAGGATATGATGGAAAATCTAAACAGTCATAATCCTGGACTTTATGGTAAAACATAGTTTAGTGGAGGAAGGCAGTTGTCAATCAAATAATCATACATTTAAATATCTCATCGTAGATGGATACATGTTATGAAGGAAAAGTACAGCAGGCTGGCTATATGGGCCACCAGAAATCAGGGCACTTTCTCTATTCTGGGGTTATTGAGAAAGGTTACCTTAAGGAAGTGACAGTTAACCTGGGGCCTGTGAGATTGAGTGGTTGACTTGTGAAGAGATAGAGAGTGGCCCAGATGCAGGGAGAGCATATGTGAGAGCCCTGAGGGGGGCACATGGTGAGTGAGGGGCAGTGCCATACAGGCACAGGTTCTCATACATCGGGGAAGCTTCGGAGATGGATCTGCCTGAGAGTCGGAGTGCAAGCTAAATGACCCCAGGAGCTCTTTTGGTTTCAGGGGGAAAAAATCACAAACTAGTTGGAGGTACCAGAGGGCCACAGGAGACAAAAAGGGACTGGCTGGGTGGCTAAGCACAATTGGAACACTGCATTCTGCCCCAGCAACATGTCCAGAAACCTCAGGTAATACTCCCTGTGTGGCCATCTAGAAAGGTAACTGTTAAGATTAAAGGGCAGTGTGTTTTCCAGGCCTGAGCTATCAATGTGAACCTTTCTGTTTGGATTGCCAAGAGAATTGCATGAGCAGTGCCCAGCTAGAGGGCCTAGTAATGCGTTGTGATCATGGGTTTCCCTGAGTTATTTGAAACCAGAGGGTGTATGTGCTATCCTCTGCAAAAGTAGAGGGTTTGGAGGAAAGGTAAATGTGAGGTAAGTTGAAGGATAATTGCAGGAAATGGGGCGTGGCCCGGGCAGCAGAGGAGCTAAATGGGAGAGCAATAGTTGACGGTCCATTGTCATTGTGCCTACTAATCGGCGAGGAGAGGAGAGGACAAGGGAGGCCAGGGTTGGACCCTGCGCATGAAGGAAGAGCGAGCGAGCCAGGGAGCGCTCTTGACACCGGAGGGCAGGAGGCCGCTACGCCGGGTCTCCCGCTCCAAGAAAGGGGCACAAGGAGGCGGCGCGGGCCCCGCCCCCTCCCCTGGCGGGCGCGGGCGCGAGACGCTGCGCGGCGGCGGTGGCGGGCGCGAGCGGCAGCTGTCAGGCCACTGAGGTCCGAGCTGCTCTTGCTGCCCCACCGAGGACGAGGAGGCAGCAGGAGCGGTGACCGTGTCACTGAGGAGCCGGACTGCCGGCACGCAGAGCTGACCTGCCTGGCACCCGCGGCCCCCCCGCCACCATCTCTCTCCCATTGTATTGGGTAAGGTGCGGGTGCGTGGGCAGGGAGAGGGGCTAGCGGCCAGTGGACGCGGGCGGCCGGGAGGTGGGGGGGGGGCCTGTGGGAAGAGGAAAAAGGGAGGTCTACGTGATCCCCCGGGACATTTGCACCTTGGGAAAGAGGCCTAGGCACTGCAGGGGTCGGAGTTGGGGGGAAGGTGACGATGGAGGGGGGCGTTGCTGAGTAATTCGGAGCGGCTGGCAAAGCCCCACAGACAGACGCAGGGCTCCGTGGGGAACGGGTGTGGCTCAGTGCGCATGCGCCACAGTCACTCGTTCTGAGAGATGGGGATGAGGTGAGATGACCCGGGTCCGAGGTAGTTGGAACTGTACGTAACATCTCATTTTCTAGATCCCCAATGCCAACAGTGACCCTGTCGTAGAGATAACAAGGAAGATTCTTTCCCCTATACTCTGCTCGCTTAATGTCACCCAAACCTCACCTACCTGTCTCCTGGCAGTCTACTTGGGAAGAAGTGGCCTGGGGACAGGGCCAAATTGCTATCTAGTGTGCCTTCGGGCTTATAGCCCTAGAGCTGTTGTTGTGAGGAGTGAAAGGTTAGAGGTGAAATTCCACATTGAACCTTCTGGTTGCATATAGGATATAAATATGGTCATAAATGTGGGAATAGTGTTTCAGTGGCATGACAGCTGTGGCATTTGGACTCAGAGCAGGAATGTAGCTGATAACTTGATTGCTCTACACAATGAATCCAGTGTGTCAGACGGCTTCCCCGCTACAGAACCCTCCCCCACCCCCACCAACAAGCATCAGGTTGTACTGGAAACAACCTACACCATTTAAGGTAGAGGGTCTCAAAGATGCAATCATTTCTTATTTGTATTGATTTTTACCTAAGTTAAAGAAAGCCCTGCCCAGTTTTCCAGTGCAGTATTTTCCAAATACTGTGCCAGGAATCAACAGTGAGTTGGGTGGCCCAACCAGTGTGTCACCAAGATGGGCTTTCCCTGTAGCTTCAACCATGGCTCCTCCTCTGTGCAGATTACCACCAGGGACACTCTCATCCACTACCTAACTCTCCCCTGCTGCTCTTCCCCTACCCTCAGCCCTGCAGTACCACATCCCTGTCAACACATGCTCCCAAACTGCACGTTGGATTTGAGCATCATTCCGCCCATGGCAACCAAACTGATGTTGCCAGTTTGCTTTTCTATTTCTCGTCTATCCATCATCACACTAAAATGTTCTGTTTTTAAAGGTTCACCCTCTTTCTCGTCATTGTACTGCTTCTTTCCACACTCACACCCCTAAGCATCCCCAGCTAAATACAATAATTTTAATAAGCTGTGTGGGTGCGGGCACAGCAGATTCAAAAGGTTTCAAGTGTGTTGAAGAACAAAGAAAACTAGGGAGCATCGGTTATGTGAATTTCTAATTTACCTTATTGTCTGAGACTTAGACTCTGGGGGAAAAAATGTGAATATACTATTCTTAGAAAATTCTTGTTAATTGTGGAGAGTGGGGTAAGAAAGGGGAATTGCATCTCCGGGATATTTGAGTTGTTCAGAGGCAGATCTGTCTCTGAATAGGACCAAAATCAGATTAAACATTTTAGTCAAAATCCTAAGCTGATATGGGACCCATACAGGATGCATAAGGGATTTGACTTTCCCGTTAAATGTACTTCGGTTTATCAAAGAATTCCATTGCCTCCTTAATGCTATCTTCTTTTAAGGTTTGACTTTAATCTGGCATATTCTGGAGGAGTAAAAAATACTTTTATACTGTGCTAGTCCTTTTTGAGTATGTACTAAAGGATATCACACTTATTTTCAAATGATGATAATGAGAATGATGATGGTCGGGACTCCAGCCTCCACTGAAAACATAATGTGGAGATAATTATACCGCTCTGACATTTGGTGGGTATGGAGAAATTTATATATTTCTCTTAAAAACGGAGGGACGGGGGAGGGAAACTAGAGCATTGCCACTGGCTTTCAACAGGTGAAATCCCTGGTAAGTCCCATCTAGAAAGTGATGCAGATAAGTCCGTAACTTCTGCTCTTTAGTCACAAATAAATAATAGTATTTGGACATCTTACAGAACTGCAGATCTCTTGTACCTTGGCATCAATTCAGAGGCATTAGTTCTGAGCACCCACCTAAACAGTTAACTAATAAGCGAATATTATTGATTATCCATATGAAGGATATGCTTGCTGCATGGATGGAGGGGCTTCAAAGACTTACAAACAAGGGTTTTACCATCCAGGAATTTAAAATTTGGTTGTGTAGGAAAGACATACTTAGAAAAAAAAAGATTTTTAAACTAAATAAGGCAATATAATGATACCATTTCAACTGTAAATCATGAGATCTGAAGCTTATATGTTAATTCATAAATTCCTTGAGGGTAGGACCTTGCTTTAAAAATGTATGCATTTCCAACAGTGTCTATACCCAATGGGTGCTCAAGTGATGAAGCTTTGCAAAGTAAGTAGGGAGAAACCAGAGGCAGGGAGAGAAGAGCCAGGAAGTTTTCACAATAGATTAGATGCAAGGAGATGTGGGCCAAAGTGAGGATGGTAGCAGAGGACCAGGAAAAAATATTCCAAGGAAAAATCCACAGGATTTAGTGACTGAAGACAAGGAGACATGTCTAAACTGTATTCAGTTCTACCTTCAGGAGACAAATGGGAGTTGGAGACAGTGGAGGAGAACAGAGGGTTACCTTAGTAAGGACAGAGCACGCAATAGGCATTCAAATGTTTTCTCAATCATCAGTAGCAGGATTGGACCAGAAGACCCTTAGGGTCCGCCCGACGCTAAGATTCTGTGGTATATGCAGATACTCAAAATTGTTAGGGAACAAGGCCTTCTCAGATATTGAAGGAAGAGGAAAGGAAGAATTGTGATCTTCCTACTGGCAGGCCTTTTCTGAGGGGGGTTCATACTGAGTCACAAGGCCCCCAACAGTGAATGACAGGAGGTGAAGGAGCAAGAGGAACAAAAATCTGAAACCCCAAATTTCAATACATGCTTACAAATTTTTGCAAACTTCCTAAGTTATTCATCCCCCCCCCAAATCCTGTGAGTTAAGTAGGGCAGGTATTATCAGCTCTGTATTTGTGTAGGAAGATATTGAAACAAAGCAAGATTAAATAACCTGCTCAGGTTCATAAAATAAATGAATGGCGTAGTAGTGATGAAGACTTTTGTCTCCTGATTGCTGCCAACCCAGTGCACTTCACACGGAGCCACACTCCTTTTCCTCCCTTTTCCCTGGTATAGAGCCTATGTACCCAGAAGTTGTATGTGCAAACGACCAAATAGGGAATGCACAAGCAACTGCAGCATTATCTCAGATGGTTATTAATACTTCATCATTATTCCTGGAGTTGAGTATTTGGTTTCCACATTCACTCAGTCCTTGACCATCATTTGAGTTTATCCACAGCTGGGAAAGGAGAGTTAGTGAATTGTTTAATGATGTGAACACCTGTTTGCTAGGAACTTGAAGAAGCTCATTTGGCACGCGCCCTTAATACTACCAGTACTGTTACCCAAGTTTGTACTTCCTCTGTTCCTTTTTTAAGTGAGCAGTCTGTAAAATTATCCTACAGACCCATATAAAGGATAAAGAAGTGTGCTAATGCTTGTTTCATTTCCATTTAAAGAAACGTTTGTTACTTGAACTAGTTCCAAAGAAAGCAATTTGAGAGCAGGAAAAAAGAGGACAAAAATCAGTAATGGTAGAAAACTTGAAAATTTTTTAGAGTAGATACAGACCCAGAAGGAAGATAAAGCCTATCAATTTAGAAGACACTATTTAAATTCATAATTACTGATTTAGGTCTCTGATGAATTCCTTATTATATGCTTTATATTTGAAAAAAATAACATGAGATTATTAGGCAATAGAGATTTCTTACACTCTTCTTTATTCTTAAGAAAGAATACTCAACAAATCTAAGAACTGTTTTTCTCTTAAGACCAGCACTCTTGATGCTGCTTAAATAACACTCTTGCCATAATTAACTATAATGTTAAGTGAAGTTGTGTTTGAATTTAATAAAGCCAGCTAAATACTAAAACCTGTGTTCAAGACAGATGATCAAAATTAATGAGTAAAATAGCCAAGAGAATATATTGTAAACAGGGAATCTCCAAACATTATTATTTCTTCTCTGATCTTGTGGAATCAATTTCAGAGACAATCTCGAGGCAGATTGGTGAATGCATTAATAACTTTCTTGGAGATGGGAACATTGGTAGACATAAAGGGAAGGAGTTTCATCTCTGACTTAGGATTTTGACATGTCTTAGACGACTCCTCTGTGCTTTCCCTTTCCTGAATATCATCCCCCTACTTCCTTTGATTTACCTTTACTTTGAATGAAGAGTTCAGTGGAGGGACAATATAAAACTCTAAAAGCCATATGAAGTACACTCATTAGGACAAGTTAAAGTTTTTGCAATAATATTATTTTGTCCATGTTAAGCATTTGTAGCATTTTGAACTCCTAAGTATATTTGTGAAAAGCATCCTCTACAGGTAAGTTGAGGTGGGTCTGTTTCTTTCCTGACTTGAGTATATTTATATATAGCCTTAACTTTGTTTTATTATACATTTTTAAAAATAATGTTTCCCAATCCATTTTCTAGAACCCTAAAAAGAAAGAATAAAACAACAAGGAAAAGAAAAGACTAAAATTGTGGCAAAGACCCAACTGCGTAGGTATATATATTTTTTCATTTGATCTCTTAAAAAGGAATATTTAGAAAAATATATAATTATTACACATGCACCAACATAATACTAAGGATTAATGAGGCTTTTTAAAATTACATTTCAAATGTGTGTGCCTCCAGAAGCTCTTTTGCATGTGCTCTTTTGATTAGTAATTGGTTTTCATCTCTTTGGGTCTCTTGCATAAATAACACCCAGTTAACATCATCATTGTTTTGTTCCCACAATGGACCAAGTGTGAAAGTATTTACCAAAATCTAGTACCGGTTAGTTGTTCAGTAAACGTTTGATCTTTTTATTGTAAGATGCATTCTAGATATTCCATGTACAGACATGTTGTGGAGGTACCAAGAAAGGTACTGTATTGTTATTAGCACTTTGAAGTTTACAGTCTATTTTCATTGGTGCCATTATGGAATTAGAACCTAAATCTAAAAATTAATAAGCTATTCAAGATTTTCTTCCTAAATGATAGCTGTTACAATGATCCCAGGCAACAATCATCAATTTACATGTCATTGTTCCATGAAGAAAAGATTATGGAAGATCCTTTATTTGTGAGGGTATCTGTATCAATGCAAGTATAATGAGGCAGATGCCTGAAGAAATTTTACCTTTATCTCTCTTCCAAGTTCTGGGGTCCAGTCTAATTGTAGCCCCAAATTCTACTGATGTAATTAAAATTTCAGCTCTACAGCTTTCTCTCCTCAATAATTCTTGGGTCCGTCATGAACAGGCTTCAAACTCCAAATCAATTTTGTACTATTTGCCTCTTGTTTGGAACTGTCAAACTGGAAACATAATATGGTTACACATCTGAGTGGTATTCCTGTTCTAGGCTCTCTCCCCTAGAACAGGGTCAGAACTGAACCAAATTATAGCACCATCTGCTAGTCCATTTACCCATGGCATTCAGCCATTTTCCTGGCACAGGCAGAAGACCTCAGAAAAACAAGACCTATTTTTCCTTGTATGCAAAAGGATTCTATTCCTTCTGCTGTACTATATAGTTAATGACCGTGAATCAAGAGAGGTTAAATGAGTAGGCCATATAATTCAGAGAAATTTACTATGAAGTTGATTTCAGTTTCAGGTTTAACTGTTTTCCCTCCTACTTTTTCTTTTATTTTCAGGTTCTCTTGGTTATAAACTCCTCCCCAACTGGTGCTGCAACAATGAGTGGGAAATCCTTGCTCTTAAAGGTTATTCTCTTGGGTGATGGTGGAGTTGGGAAAAGCTCGCTTATGAACCGTTATGTAACCAATAAGTTTGACTCCCAGGCTTTTCACACCATAGGGGTAGAGTTCTTAAATCGAGATCTGGAGGTAGATGGACGTTTTGTAACTCTCCAGATCTGGGACACTGCAGGGCAGGAGCGTTTCAAGAGCCTTAGGACACCCTTCTACAGGGGAGCAGACTGCTGCCTCTTGACCTTCAGCGTGGATGACCGGCAGAGCTTTGAGAACCTTGGTAACTGGCAGAAAGAATTCATCTACTATGCAGATGTGAAAGACCCTGAGCACTTCCCCTTTGTAGTTCTGGGTAACAAGGTAGACAAAGAGGATAGGCAAGTGACTACTGAGGAGGCACAAGCCTGGTGCATGGAGAATGGGGATTACCCTTATCTAGAAACAAGTGCCAAAGATGATACTAACGTGACAGTGGCCTTTGAAGAAGCTGTCAGGCAGGTGTTGGCTGTAGAGGAACAGCTGGAGCATTGCATGTTAGGTCACACTATTGACTTGAACAGTGGCTCCAAAGCAGGATCCTCATGCTGTTAAAAGCAGGAAGCCTTATAAAAGTGTGCCCCAAATTGTTCAGTCAATAGTGTCAGAATAACTGTGCCCCTCTAAGGGGGCACACACACAAAAGGGTAAGAGAGAAGGTTGTGATTGTGTATCAGAGCCTTTCAAATTGAGGTTGTAGAGCGATTAAAAAAAAAAAAGCTTTATCAAGCCAAGTGTATTTTGCGTGATTTCTGCTCTTTCCTTCTTGTGTGTATCAGGACTTTTCAGAAAGCTTCAGTCCTGAGAGATTTAAATATTTTCAAATCACAGTTTAAACTTAGAACCCAGCAGCATGAAGGAGTTAAAGAGCTACAGCTATCCCTAAAATTGTTCCATTAGTCAACTAACAAATGTCAACGTGGACTCTTGGCAATCAGTTTCTGACATTTCTGCCAAAGGAAGAAAAAATAAGACTCTGAGCTGTATTACAATAAAAAAATAATAATGCAAACAAGGATGTCCTAAGCTTCAATTATAAAGAGGTTGTGATAATTAGGTATATAACAGTACAGTGATGTACGCTGCCTTGTTTGAATCCTCATATAAAGGTTTGCTCCCATTTGAGCTTTTCAAAAAATATCTCAATAAGAGATACACTGATGACACTGGAAATTGATTATACTCTTCGTGTTTGAAGTAACAGGGTACTAGTGAATGGATTATGCTTAAATAACCAACCATCCTTGCAAATAAATGGTTGGTCTGCTTTTACTTCGTAAGTCTACTTTTGCTGCATAGGGATGTTGCTTCTCTGACAACCTCTTATCAATTTAGCAATGCTGCTTAGTATATGGCTTTGGATGCAGTGCTCTCTGCTCATAATTTTGAGGGTCCTTTGGTCCACTGTGCTCTGCTCTCAGAGAACCCTTCAGAAAAGATTGGGGGATAACAGGCTTTTCTCACAAGGTTCCTTAACTCAAATATTTATTATAGAAGGAACTAATATCTTGTATGTTGCACTGTATGTTCAGCTGGCCAAACTAGGACACTGAAAGTAACAAGAGAGCAGACTTTAACCCAGTGGTAGACTGAATTTCTCATAGAGTTGTCCAACAGTGGAATGGACTGCCTTAATAATGAACTCCCTTCCAGTGAAAATATTCAAGAAGATACTAGATGACCATCTGTTAAAATACCATAAAAAAGAATTTCTGTCCTAGCTAGATATTTGGTTTCAGGTCCCTTCCAGCTCTAAGTTCTATGAATCTGCAAGGTACAAACTGTGTTTCAGTGCCATGTTATCATTAGATGTTTCTTAAGACAACAGCTAAGAGGGACTTTGGAGTCTCTTTGGAGAGGGACTTTTAAAATTCTCAAACTATTCTGGGATCAGCATTTAATGGCAACTACACAGCTCGCTCTTTGGCACCACAGCAGGAGAAATTCTTGAGTTCTGAGTAGTCATTATGTGCCCTGATATAAATATCCTAAAAATACCATATTAAAATACAAGAACGGTTTGTCAGATTTTGATTACCATGACTGCTAGCTATATACTGTATTACAAATATGCAGTCTAGTTCTTGTTGGTTGATCTATTTGTCCTGCAAATCTTTTAATCTGTACTTTTAAAACATCTATGTTAAAAAAAATAGTGACCCAAGGTAGGGGGACAGTTAGAAGTGACCCCCCAAAAGAGATGGAGGCCGGGAAGGAAGCAGGAGCTTATAGCCTAGGGAATATAGCCTAGAACTCTCCATTGTAGCCACATATGGAATCAGCCTTACATGTGGGACCTTATGTGCTTTAAGAGCTCTGGGACTTTTTGGCTACATAGACAAGTGGAAGACGGTATCTCAACCCAGTCATACTCAGTATTTCCCATTTAAATAGAGTCCTGACCCCATTGTCAAAGTAATTTTGATGCCAGAAGTTGAAGCCAGAACTGGGACCCCACAGCTCTTAAGTATTGGTCCCTATCCTGCCTATGCCTATAGCCAGCCACACTGGCTTCCAAGTTCTACGATTGTTTTGCTACAATCATGTTAGGGTGAAAATCTGTACATCAGAACTGTTAAATGCTAATTGTTTTTAAGTGCATGAGACCTGGGGCCTTCTCTTTCTACTTGCACTCTGCTTATAATAGTTTCTATTTGTAGATCTCAGGCTTACATAAAGACCTCCATCCACTCACAAAAGTACTTGTCACTATTAGAATGGCATGTGGTCATTTAAGTAAAAACATGATGTGGGTATCCTATTCATAGACCTCCTGTCTAACCGAGGCAAGTGTTAATTTTATTGACAGGTCATCTGAAGCCCCTTTCCTCTTAGCCATACCAATTTTCTCCTGCCAAATCACTACACAATATCCTAATAAAAGCAGTTAACATTAAATGACAAAAACAGTGGCATTTTGGTGAGTAACACTCACTGGGGTGCTGACACAAGTTTGGGTAAGATTATAAAACACCAAAGGCTGAAATCTGTGGGTACCAGGAACTGTGCATATAGGTTTAGAAATTGTATACACTAGGATGTGCAGTGCAATATTTTCAGAAAGTTTTTTTTAACGAACACTGGATTTTTTTGAATAAGATATTTCTAATTAGAGCTATACTGTTTTTCAATAGTCCATTAAAACATCATAAAGAATATTAGTTTATTGTCATTTATTGGGCTAAATTCAAGGGGCCTCAGATTCCATATGTCTTCAGTGGATTGATGAATTTCAGGTTAATTTGTGCCTGCCTCAGCCATCTCTACTTTACCTTGAGGTATTCCACGATCCTCTCGTTGCAGGTGCTGCTAAAAACTCAAAATTGTGTATATTTTGTTTCAACTGTAAAAAAAAAATCCTCTGTGTTAAAGTGAATAAAAAGTGCATTTTGAATAACCAGTATACAGTGTTTGTGCTTCTTCTCTCCCTTTCTCTTTTTGAGCAACTGGTGGGTGTGACAGATGGTACTTACCAATCAAATCACTCTTTGAGACTGCACTGCATGTGGCCTCTGGATCATGTATTCACCGTGGTACCCCAAGCAGCCACAACCTAATGATCAGAGAGATAGGTTCTACTGATTGGGAAACAAACTCAAAAGATTAAGGTGGGGAGGTTCCCTTTATTTTATGTCACTTTTTAATGTATGAAGAACACTGAGACTGGAAATTGGATCTTGACTCTCCACTTCTTCATTATAATTTTTTTCTTTGTTAATATGTTTTATTAAAAATGTCTTTTTATTATGTTCATCATTAGTTTTTGATGTAGTGTTCCACGATTCATTGTTTGCACATAACACCCAGTGCTCCATGCAGAACGTGCCCTCTTTAATACCCATCACCAGGCTAACGCATCCCCCCACCCCCCTCCCCTCTAGAACCCTCAGTTTGTTTCTCAGAATCCATAGTCTCTCATGGTTCGTCTCCCCCTCTGATTTCCCCCCTTCATTTTTCCCTTCCTACTATCTTTTTTTAAACATACAATGTATTATTTGTTTACTTCTTCATTATAATTTAAAACAAATGTTAAACCATCACAAAATATAAACAGAATATACATATTCCTTTTATCTTCCTGGCTGATATGCTGTCCAGATCTTAGGAAAACATGAAAATATGGGTGAAACAAATCAGAAAACAAAGGATGATTTTGTTAAATAACTCTGTTCTCTTGCTTATCACATACTGGACTTTAAAGATACTTGCATTAGCATCAAATGGCTTGAATATCCATAGTGGTGACTTTTAAATTATGGGCACAGGTCTTTCTGCAGCATGTAACTTCATTACATTGATTTCATCTGTCACAGATTAAAACTTCTCCCATTCCTCTACTTTAGCTTATCGGGACTCTAGGCAATTAAAATCACGGGGGGAAGAACAGATTTTTTTTTTTTTTTTTTTGGCCACATGTACTGTTTCCATCTCTGAGGATAATTATTTAACAAATTATCAGACCATGCTTCAAATACAGCACCTGAAATCCTTTTGATTAGGCTACAATGATGCAGCTTTTAGGCTATAGAAGATCAGAGATTTATAAGCCTCTTAAAAATGATTTGCTCATCCCAAACTGGTATTTTGAAAGCAGAAAACTAACTTTCTGTCTTTGCTGTTTTTCTGCTTGATTCATAATCCACTGGGAAATCTCCTTCTCTGGATGTCTTAAGTAGTATAGCTTCTCATTTTTTGGAAATAGTTTGGCTATGATCCTTCCAGGAAGTGGAAGGTGTGGAATAGATGGGTTTCTCTTCAATTCTATAATTGAATTTTAAAACACACTGGGAAATCAAGATGGCTATTTGAGTAAGGTCAGGATGGGAGTTGCGGTGGGCATCTCTACTTTCCTTTAATTACCTGCAGTAGTTCTAATTGCGACAATTTTTTTTTTTTTTTTGCCCCAGTGATCCTGATAAGCATTTCACTTTTTTTCTCTCCTTGCTATGGAGATGTAGGATTCATTACAGTGGAGTACTTTTTTTTACACTTGATTTAAGGGCAGGTACATTGTGATACAACTTTTGATAAAATGTTGGTATATATTTTCCAAACTGGTCTTTTTGGGGCATCTGGGTGGCTCAGTCTGTTAAGCGTCTGCCTTTGGCTCAGGTCATGATCTCGGGGTCCTGGGATTGAGACCCCCCCCCACCGCAGTTGGGCTCCCTGCTCAGCAAGGAGTCTGCTCTCCCTCCCCCTCTGCTCCTCCCCACCCACCCCGCTCATGTGCTCTCTCGCGCAAATAAATAAATAAAATCTCACACAAAAAAAACTGGTCTTTTTTTCCTCCTGCTTTTTCTGAAGTATAATTGACCAATAAAAAGTACATATATCTATCCAAAGGATACAAACATAGTGATTCGAAGAGGCACCTGCACCCCAATGTTTATAGCAACAATGTCTACAATAGCCAAAATATGAAAAGAGCCCAGATGTCCATCGACAGATGAGTGGATAAGGAAGATGTGGTGTATACACACACACACACACACACACACACACATATATACAATGGAATATTACTCAGCCATCAAAAAGAATGAAATCTTGCCATTTGCAACAATGTGAATGGAACTAGAGAGTATTATACTAAGCAAAATAAATCAGCCAGAGAAAGACAAATATCATATGATTTCACTCATATGTGAAATTTAAGAAACAAAACAGATGATCATAGGGGAAGGGAAGGAAAAATAAGATGAAATCAGAGAGGGAGACAAATCCTAAGAGACTCTTAACTCTAGGAAAAAAACTGAGGGTTGCTGGAGGGGAGTTGGGGGGATGGGGTAACTGGGTGATGGACATTAAGGAGGGCACTTGATGTAATGAGCACTAGGTGTCATACGGAACTGATGAATCACTAAACTCTACCTCTGAAACTAGTAATACACTATATGTTAATTAAATTTATTTTAAATTTTAAAAAATTGTATATATTTAAGGTGTTCAACTTGACAATTTGATGTATATATGCACTGTGAAATCATCACCATAATCAAGCTAATTAACATATCCTTCACCTCAGGTGGGTTTTTTTTTTTTTGCTGTCTTTTTTAATTATTTCAGGTTACCATCACCAATGAAGCCCTTATTCTTTACTCCTTTCTCTTTAAGAGAAGGAAGGGGTAATGATAGAAGCTAGGTATATTTCAAGAATGAAAGAAATTTTTAAATGTCCCTTCATTGATATGTTTCAAAAAATGTTGAGCAAGGATCTTTTATTTCGCTGGTGGAGGTGGTGATGTTTGTGTGAGGTTTTTTTGAGGGGGTGAAGGGTTACTAAAGTGCTTTCCCAGTGAGAATAAGTGTCTTCACAACTCAAGATGTGAAGGAATTGTCATCTTTAGTCATATAGGAACTGCTGCAGTGATCTATGTGTCTTTATAAATCACTTTGGTCTTCTCCAAAGCAATATAGAAAATTTTGATTCAGCCATATTTAAGTACTTTTTTAAATGGTGGGTTTTGTGAGTGCAAATATATATATTTTTGAGTAATCTGTCAATTCCTTTCATGCTTTATGAATTATGGGTAAATGTGCAGTGAGTCTCACTCTAGCCTCCCTGAATTTTAGCCAGACAAGCCAAGCTGTGTTTCTACTTAACTGATTGATCAAATGGATTGAGAAATGCTGCCTGAATGAAAGAAATAGCTCTTAATTCAACATTAGCTGTATTGATTAGAGTAAAAATACAAATCATGCCTTCCTGTTGTACATTCATGAGGAAGCAAGAGATAGGCTTATCTCTTCTCTTTCATTGTTCTTGGCTGCCTTAAAATCAACATATCCAAGGGTGGGTTCTGTAATATATTGTTCAATATAGAGTCTTCTTATAGATGAACAAGGGTTGATATAAACTTTGAATCATCTCTTTTTCCATTTGTTCCCAATGAGAAAACAGTGTCACCAGTAAGAACTTTAAAAACTTGTCTTTAGTTTGGTTTTTTTTTCTGATTACAGAAGTTAAATACATCCATGGTAAAAAAAATAATAATAATAAAATAAAACAAGAAAACTAAGGAACAAAAGAAACAGAAAAGCAAGATAAAGAAGTTATCTGTAATCCTATTACCCTGAGGTAACCAAATTTTAATTTTAATATATTTATATAATAAAATACACTTATTTTATATTATATAAATATAAAATATAAATATGTGTTATATATTTATATTATATATTAATATATTTATATAATAAAAACACACTAATTGTAATCTTTCATTTAACATATACTGGACTTTCATCTAAGTCATTACATATTCTTCTAGGAACTGTATTTAATGCTTGCATAATATTCTATTGAAGGATTTACCATAGTAAATGTAATCAAACACTTAATGCTGGACATTTAGATTGTTTTCCAACTGTCTCCTTTTATAAAACAGCAGTTAATGTCCCTTATATTAATCTTAATTCACATCTGTATTTTCTATAAGTAAAATTTCTGGGTCAAAGATTATGACCGTTTGTATGGCTTTTAATGTATATTGACAAATTGCCATCCCGAAAGTTGTCCCAAATTACATAAACACCAGTAGCATAAGAGGCCTATTTTTCTAAACACTCCACCACTCATTGAATATTATCTTCCTTTCAAACCACATTTGCCTAATTTGATGGATGAAAAATGATCTCATGTTTTGATTTGCATATTTTTCATCCTTTGAGAGTAAATATTTGTTCGTGCATTTATTGACCATTTTTATTTTTTTCTTGAGTGAATAACCTATTCTGGTCCTTAGCCCATTTGGGGTAGGAAACATTCATTTTTCTTTCTTAATTGATTTCTAGAAACTCTTTTTTTATATATTATGGGTATTAACATTTGATCATATCTATACTGCAGATTTTCTGCAATCCTCTCCCATATGTCTTCCCTTTTAATTTCGCTTACGATATTTAAAAACACTGACAGATTATTGAAAAGTTCATGTTCTAATAAAATAGAAAACTAGGGTGGGTAGGGGAGAGAAAAATGTCTACTTGATCTGTCCTTTGTTCCTGACCACATGGAACTATATACTTATTTTTATTTAGAAAGGTTATGAGTCTAAGCTTGTGTCACCATGATAGAAAAAATGGTGGAAAGCAGAATATTCATTCATCCAGCTTTTTTATCTGCATGATGCCAAATGGCTGGTTTGATTTGGATTTAGTGTTATTTTAATGAGGTGATTATTTCGAAATCTTGTACAAATACAGCGATAGTTACAGTTCATCTTTCACCCACAAGAGGGCAATGAAGACCAGATAGTATTCTGCCGTAGGCACTAAGTAGAGGACAGACTGAAAGAGCTGAAGGGGCGCCTAGAGATCATCCATGTAGTCTCCCTCTCCGTTATTTTATAGACTAGAAAACTGAATTCTGGAGAGGTGAAATGATTTGTTCCAGGGCACA